TAATTACAACCCTAAAGAAACAAGTAAACAGAAAAAATAATTTGCATTCTTCTTCTTAACATAATCCTGTAGATATAAATAAATGAATATAAATAACATTACTGTTAATCAAATGTGGTTAGTAAATTGTATAATGGGCAGCTGTGAGGTCATTCGAAACATCACGCTCAACACAACACATTACATTTTTTAAAAGTAATGTGATTATAGGCCTTTTTTGGTAAATTAAGGTAAATAACCTGTTTACACAAACCTAAACACTTATCATACAGTTAAAAGTATGAATGTTAAAGGGAAATAGGAAAAGAAAATGCCTCGTTATATTTTATAATAGTTACGGTGTATACTGTTAATAGATGAATATTTAGTCAGATAGCATTACGCCGCCTGTCTCATTTTTTTGGCTAAAAATGGTGTTCTATTATATTTGGTTCACCCTTCATACATGTACATGATTTCTAAATCATGAAGATCACAGATACAAAAAAAAACCAAAAAAAAAAAAAAAAACCAACGCTTATAAATTTTTAAACACAGTAAAGGTTTTAGATTTCTGCATAAAAAGCACATTTAGGACCAAGTCTAGATGGATTTGTGATATTTGATCTGGCAATTGCTTTGATCAAGGTAATTCTAATTTACATGTATGTTTACTGAGCAAAATATAAACTGTAATTAAAGAGAGACTTCAAACGCACTATTCTACAACATATTCAAGAGGTGGTGATAATGAAATGTTGATTTCAGAAACTCAAAAGAATTTTTGAAAAAAAAAAAAAATCAAAAATTAAAAGCATCAAAATATAAAACTTTTCAACGTTTTATAGATTCATTTAAACTGAAGAGCTTGCTTTTGAAATCGTCGAAAACTGCTTCCTCAATAAATTGAACTCGTAAATTTCCATCTTGTGATTGGTTATCTACAAAATTACTTGGTTAAAAATCATTCTGATTCCATTCACAAGTAATCTGATTGATATTAAAAAATGCTGGAGTTCCTCATTGAAAATTATTATGTAGTGTTTGGAAACCAGGACTTCAAAACATCTGTTGCAATTCCGATTATCACTTACTGTGCTCCTTTGTCTGCCGACCTGTTTTTATATTTCTATGAAGCAGAATTTATTCAAAAGCCTAAACATAAAAGAAAGAAAACTTATCAATAAACAATAGTTACTTTCATTTATGTATAGACTTGATATATCCAAGCAAACTCAAAATAGCAGACCCAACAGAATCTACTACTTCTGTTTCAAATTTCGATTTACTGACAATAGATGATGATGGCCAACTAAAAGTATGACAAACCTTTCCATCGTCAACTGACCTTATTTTATCTAGTTATATTTACCTGCAAAGTGTGTTTATGTCTCCCGAATGATTCGATACACAAGAGATGGTCTGAGTGCTATAAATTTTAAAACAGAAGTAGACTACTAACACATAAGTTGATGTTATGTGCAATTTCAACAACCGTGATTAAAGTCAGCATTTTGCAAATTTTATGATCTTTATAATGGCCTTGTTTGCAATTACAACTTATCGTTGGATCGTATCTAGTCTGACGTGTTTCATACCAATTGTTTAACCACTGTTTTGTACTAATTTTGACTATGGATTACTCCGTCCACCTGTTCAATACATAGGACCTACGGCGCGTAATACAGATCGACAAGGGATGAATACTCGTACTACGGACCTGATCCCACCTCTGGTGTTTCCAGGTGTCTGTGTTTTTGCCCTGTTCACGATTTATATTCTTTACTTGATTTATGAGTTTGATTCCTGTTTGTTATCTTTACCTTTTGCCAAAATTGGATAGCTGTAAACCATCTTCTCCATGGGTCGTTTAAAGTGGTGGCCCCGCCCCAGTAAAAAAAGTTTTCGCCATAGTACCGCCACAGTAAAAAAAAAAGTAGCACCACAGTAAGATCATCGTCGATTAGGAACATAAATGTATAAATTTACAAATTTATAAATGATACTCTCAATTAAGTACAATTGTTTTTAGTTTCTAATGCTTAATTGTAAATTTACTCCGATTAGGGCCCATGGATTGACTTTTGCAATCAATTATCTTCTACACCCTCGCCGGACTTTATTCATGAATGAAAAGAGACAAGCAATTTGTTTTCACACTTCTCAGTAATTGAATATGATTTTTTTTAAAATACCAATTAATACTAAGCCTTATTTTTATAGATAACTATGTCTCTAAAATTGTGTGGCGCTGTGAGTCATACATAGTGCGTGTATCGTTCTCGTTTAATGATGTAATGTTCTATAATTACCGAAAGATCCATCAAAAATCGTATTTTGTGACTTTAAACTGCTGAAGTGCTTTTTAATTTACAAATTCTCTGAAACTTTAGTCAACTGACACCAATAGTTGCAAATGTATTGGGAAAAGTTTGATTATGTGAGCTACCAGAATTTCTTCAAATTTAAATGTAACTGAAGACGTATTATTTACAGTTTGTAAACAAAATAAGTTTTTAAAATTTGTCTAACACTTGAAATAAGTTACTTGTACTATTATTGTCAGATTGTATTAACTTATATATTTCTTAATTGTGTGTAGTTGTGTTGGAGGTGGTGGTGGCAGTGGGGGGATGATAGATTGTAGTTTTTTACAGTATTGAAAACATTGATTTCTTATTATTGTTTATACCATGTTCACTCCGTAATAGATTTTTTATTCTTAAAATCATAATCTTATTTCGAAATGATTGATAGTATTCGTGAATAAAACTGGTGATACAGAAGAATTGTGTCTTTTTCAATTCATTCAGGATTTCTCCGCGAATTCGGTCTCGAAAAGACCGCTAATTTTTCCACTTCCCTCAAGTCTGCGCCACAACAATTGATATGATGGAGAACCCTTTGTAATGTAAAGGAATTTAACAGTAATTTAAATAACATGTATATGATACAAAACTTACCATACTTGCATTGCAATGCAAAAAAATCTATAAAAAGAAAAAATAACAAAAAAAAAAAAAAAAAAACAACAACAAAACAAAACAAAAAAAAAAAAAACAAACAAAACAAACAAACAAACAAAATCAAAAACAAATAAGAAAACGAGTCATGGATAAAAAGAAATTAGTTAAAAACAAACATATAAACAAATGGGCAGGTCAAATTATCAAAAATAATAAAATAAATAAATAAAAATGAAACAGCATTAACAAGGTTTCAATAAAGATGAAAAGAATGTAATCAATGATGCTTTCTATTTTGTTTTTTTTTTGTTTGTATGTTGTTTAACGTCCCCCTCGAGAATTTTTCACTCATATGGAGACGCCACCACTTGCCGGTGGAGAGCTGCAAATTTTGTCCTATACTCGGCACTTACGGCCATTGAGCAGTGAGGGATCTTTTTCGTGCCAGCACCTACTGCGATACGGGACCTCGGTTTATACGGTCTCATCCGAAGGACCGGTCTCCACGTCCCGCAGTGGGATTCGAACCTGCGACGTAAGGATCAACTCCTTACTTCGCGACTCTAGAGCAGACGCTCTAACCACTGCGCCACGCGGGCGACCTTTCTATTTTGTGATACACTTTTTATCATTCATTTATAACTTAAGGAGGCTGGGGGGTCAACAAATTAACCATCAGATATAACTTATTTTTTTAGATAAGATATCTTAAGCTTTCAACTATCATTTGGCAAAGAAAAAATTCATACATTTTAGTTTTAAAATTTGATCATTTTTGTATATCTTTATATGGAGCTCTTCTTCTAAAGGAGATCAATATAGTCTAAAAATGGCCACGACCACCCAGCCCTCTTAATTTAACACGTGAGGAATACGTCATTAATGGCATCAAAGTTTCAAAAAAGATGGTCTAAAGGCTATACAAGTCTCGCCTTCGTATTTGTATACATGTGTAATTAGCATATAATCCTTCATTTGCGCAAGTTACCTTTGCTTTTTTAGAAATTAATTCCATCGGCGAATTATATAATTCAGTTGCTGAGTGCCCATCAAGATAATCTTAATTACGGAACAATGAATAATTATTAAGATGTCGTCTCCATTGGAATAAAATTACAAAACTGAATCAGCTGCAGTGGAAAAAGAATACTACATTATCTTATCAATATTATTATTGTATATAATAGTTGCATGAAGACCTAGCGAAAAAAAGTGATATTCAAATTGCACGATATGTTTTTACAAACTTTTCAGTTAACATGCTTAACTTTTCAATTGTATCACGAATAAATATAAATTAATAAAATAAAATAAATAAAGAGATAGAGGAGTAAATAAGAAAAAAAGAACAGCTAGAGAAAAGAAATCATGAAATATATCTCCTTTTTGAGGAGAAGGTTTTTAGAATCCGTATCAAATCCCTCTGATAATATTATCAACAAAATATGCTTAATACATCATATGTATGTACTTTAATATAGTAGGGTCATATGTATATACAGAAGCTGACGCAGAAGCCAACAATTAATGTAGGGAAAAATATTATATAGGGTATAGTTGGTGTTCTTTTTCCTATAAATTTCACCAAAATATATTTTATTGAGTTTTAGTTGACGTTGTTTACTTATGGTTCATATGTATATGAGCTAATGGCCGTTTGTTTATCTGTGGTTGACAAGCGAAATATCGTCATATATGCAAACTAAAGGTCCTTGCCTTTCTCTAATACAAGAAAATAATTTTCAGCTTATAAGACTTGAATTAATTAATCTCAGTTGAAATAATTAACTGTGATAAGCTTACGTCACGGTGTCTTTGGAATTTAAATTCATATTGCACGCTATGATGATTTTCTAGTATAAAAAGGAGAAACTTGCAATTGCTCGGGCAATCGTGATTGTGCCTTCTGGTAAGATAAAATCTCAACAAATTGGAATGTTCGAATAGACAAATATTTTTTTTTCAAGATTGCAATTGGATTATCATGAATTTGATTTTTTTATTCATCGAGGTGTTAAATGTTTTTTAAAGGAGTACAGTTGTATTTCAGAGAAAATTACATTGGGATATTCACTATATTTCAGAAACCCTGATCATGATGGGCAGCACGAGAAGTGCCGTGCTGGGGGGCATTCTTGCCAGTTGTATTGGTAAGTACACAATTCTTAATTTATCATTTTTAACCCCCCCCCCCCCCCCGAAAAAAAGAAGAAGAAAAATCAGGTATAATTTGTATTTTTTATGTATGATTAGATGTTAAGAAATACCATGCTTACATTCTTAACTAAATACTAAATTTCCTAAATTACTAAAAGAATACCATTGAATAATGAAATAGAATAATATTGAATAAATACAACTAATTTAGTGCATTGTAAACTGTGGTATGGTTTTTTTCCGTTTATTTACATATTGTTAATCATAATTTGGCGATGAAAATTATCAGTGGGTGTACATGTATGTTTGTTATTATAATTTCAAATACACATGTGTTTCACGGAGGGAGCAAAATGCAATAAGTATATCAAGCAATCAAACATGGAATGCAATAGTTGGTATAAAAAATGATTTTATTTTTACATTCTCCTGACAGTGTCGAATGTTGTCTTAAATAAAAATAAAAACTTTTGAAAATTGAAATTATCATGATATTAATTATAACCATTTGATCTTGATACAAAATGTCATCAAAATAAATTACATAATGCTTATATGACAATCTATTTCTGAAAAACAATGTTAGTATGCTAGACTATGTCTTCGTCTGACATGCAATAAATATTAAAAGGAAATTCATTATCATAAATAAAGTCTACATTGTAGTCCTCCTTAACATATAAAAAAAACCTTATTATACATTCTGTGCACGTCGTGAACTATCGAAAAACTAGACACGAAATGCAACTCGATGTTCTTATGTGTGGTGTTTTCAAGCATATCTTTAAATTGAGGTGAAAGAATACTGTGAAAGCAATAATTTTCGTGGGAGTTTAATTTTCGTTGTTTTCAAGGTATGAAGAGACCCATGAATTTAAGTCAATCACGAAATGCATTTTTTCACATATACTTCTACTCAATTTTTCTTTATCCACGAAATCAAATCCCCACCAACCAATATATTTTCCTCAAACCTCGAAAATTTGACCCTTCGAAAATATGTGATTTTACAGTACTTACATATGTGTAATTGTACCTATATACCTTAAATAGTCTTTTTTATTATAAACATATACACATACTTCTTATATTTCAGTGACAATATTTGGATTTACTACATCTTCTCCGGAGATTCAAAATCAACGACGCAATGTTCTTACAAATTTCATGAGAGCTGTACCAAAGAAAGAGGTTCCTTTTGACATGTCTGGACCATCCATATCACAACTAACACAAGCCCATTTCGAACCATATCTAAAAGAAGCGTCCAAAAATGTAAAATCCGCTGATCCTGCTTATAATAAAGTGCATCAAAACCAGCACCCGAATGCTGTATATGAACCTGATCCAGCTGGCTCAAATATCCTGTACCAGAATGAGATTCCTATGGTTGAACCACCATTCCAGCCTGAGGTGAATATGGGACAATATCAACAGAATCCTGCAGGTCAGCTTCATGGGGGAGGCAATGCTGTGGATCCTCAATACCCACCAGAAATGAATCCGCAATATCCAACAGAACCTCCAGCCCAGTTTCCAGAGGTTGCTCAGACAAACATCCAGGGAGGTAATGCCATGGAACCACAAGTAACTCCAACTTATCCAGCTGTCAATGCCGTGGAACCACAATACCCACCAGAAGTGAATCCGCAATATCCACAAGAACCTCCGGTGCAAGCAATTAACAGTCATGGTGGAATTCCAGTGGATCCGACCACTCAGCCAGAGATTACTCCTGGATATCAACCTGATCCTCTAGGCCAGCAACAGGTGGATCCCCACCAGAATGTTCCAGGTGCTAATGTCATGCCTGAGGTACCACTTAATATGCAGGAACCACCAAATCGTCCCCCATCAGTAGTTCATTCAGTGGTTCATTCAGAACCACCTGCTGCACCATTTCAAGTAAAGCTCCAAGTATCGTCATTCACACAAGAATCAACTATTAACCCTTTCGATCAAAGAGGACAACAGCAAATCGATCAAACGTTAATTTCAGAAGTAAATCCTGCTGGTCCAGGAACAAATGGACAGTCACCAGCTTATCCAGGAACCAATGCTGAACCAGCAATGGGGAATGCAAATTTAGTTACCAGTCTCTCTAGTGGTGGAGCTGTGTCTCCGGCAGTCGGTGCTGGAACAGTACTTGAGCCAGTTCCAGAGCCAAGTCCAGAACCATTACCTGTATCAACAATGCCACCTAAGCCCTTAACAAGAGCTGAAAAAAGGCGGCTAAAAAAGCTGCAACGTAAAAAAGAACGTGAAGCCAGAAGACAGAAAAAATTAGCAGCCAGAAAGGCCAAAAAGCTCAAGGAGCAGCAAAGACGACTGGCCAAACAAAAGGCAAAGAAACTCAAAGAACAACAGAGACGATTAGCTAGGCAAAAAAAGGCTCAAGGACGCAGACGATCGAAAAATCCCAGAAGATCAAAATCAAGAAAGACCCAAACAAAGCAAGTGTAATGAAATAACGTACAATGCTAATATACAGACGGGATTTCATTAAATGGGCTTTTTTCTCAGTTCAAGGCATTGCGTGTAAAAATTTACAACTTTGCGGCGTTTGGAAAATAAAGACGGGCGATGCATGGGAGGAAATAGAAATCCTGAAATTGACGAAAAAACCTTTATCTCTTACTTAGCTTTTAATGTCGATTTGTTTAGGTAGACATTAAACAAAGATACTGCTGTTTTCCTTCAAAATTAAAATAAAAATATCAGTAGAAGTACCATGAGAATTCTCCTAGAAGTTCTAAAAAATGATTTTTTGTAATTGTTCTCCTCATTGATGTTGCCAAATGACCATTTTATATCATCCTCGAAATCATGACCAAATGTCCTTTTATAACTACTTTATCAAATAATTTATTATCATATCAAATAACCAGATTTGGTTATAATAATATTTTCTTTTACAGAAACCAAGTTCATGTATAACGTATTATTGCTATGCAAATGTTACACCAAAAGCGTGGTATATTTTTGTTATACTCGTAATGAGAAATAACTTTCAAAATCATAATATCTTGTAGAAAGAATATATTTTTAAGTAGTACATGCAATATTCTGATATATGTATTTTATTCTCCGTGCTGTATTTTTCCTGTTATGAATTAATGTACTGTTTGTGTTGAATAAATTAATTTATAATTAGGAATGGCTTGCTTGTCATTTTATCACGAAACCATTACTAGGGAATGAAGAGATACGGCAGAATGACCCCAAATTAACACATGTCATGTGTTTGTCTTATAAAAACTAAACACGCCTTAAATTTACAATTACGACTGAAAATTATAATTAATGCATTTATCTGATTTTGAGTGTCTCTGTCGTTAACATAAGTCATGTGTTGGTATTTTAAACTCCAAAATATATTTGCTTATCCCAAGAGGGTTCATTCAATTCAAAAATAGAACAGGTGCAGCGGTTCTTGGAAATAAATTGGATTAAAAATATATTTTATACAGATTTTCTTTCGCTACATTTTTTTCTAAGAATATACATACTCAGTCTGATTTGAAATTGACAAAAAATAGCAGGTCTGAGAAACTACCATCCTGCAGATAATAGTGTAGTAATGCTTTTCTGTTGGTACGTATCAAATATTTTTAGAAAGGACAAGAATTAATTTTATACTTTACTTACTTTTATATATAAAAATATATATTATCACAACGAGAAAAGGGAGCTCTTTATAATTCAAACCTTGTCAAGGTGATTTGATTTGCAATGATTTGAGGAACGGGTGTTTTTTTTTTTTTTTTTTTTTTTTTTTTTTTTGGTTCTTCCCCAGACAGATGTGTTAAAAATTCATCACATTGAATAAAAAGTACACAGGAATATTACTCATTGCTTTGGAGGGTTTTTGGGATGACAAACCATACATACTGTAGAAATATGCAAAACATGCCTCCTTTGTAAGGATTCTGCAGTAATCTTTTAATTGCTGGAAACACAATCGATTGTAATACGCTTATTCATCATACGTTAATCAAATATACATTTTTTTTCTTAAGAATTTGTTATTGAAGCATTACTACTTTAAGAATTTTCCTCACAAAAATGTGAGGTACATCATCAGTCATTTGTGCAAAATTAAAGAGGACGGCATTTCCTTTATCTAACCCTACCGAAAATCACTTGAATATCTGAAATCAAAATTTTTGGTGTATATTTTTCTGAGATATTATGCACTTTAAAGATCACAAGATAATAAGAAAACTAAATGCTTTTATAAATAACGAAGAGAAGAAATTAAATGAGAAACTTAATTATCGTGTCACCAGACCTTATAATGTCCTACACAAGAATCTTTCACTCTTGTAGAGATGTCTCCTGCTTTCTGCTTTAGGTTAATTGCCAGAACTTTTTAACTTTGCATAGCGTTAGCAGTTAAAGCTCTAAATATCTATCAACACCTACTGTATCTTGCTTTTCAAGGTCTCGTCAGGAAAAAAACCCGTGACTTTCAATTTAAATGCACGGCTCTTGGCGATTAAACTGAAGCGCTAATAAACTGACAATACCTTGTATCGGGGTATGTTGAACGTGTGCAGGAAACGGGAATCGAACATGGATATCTCAATCACAATACAGACACCCTATCAGTCATCCACTATGACCGAAATATATTCAAAATACGATTCATGTGTCGCTTAAGGAACTGTGAGCAAGCTCACAAAAATGTAACTCACTGAATTTTTTTAATGTGTCCATAAGCATTTTCATTAAAGCGACCACGAACTTGTCAAAATGATCTTGCTTAAAAAATGACACATTCTCTAATCATAAGTAATATCTATCTGAAATACGATCTTCGACTGCATCTCCTGACATCAACCTACACTTTATCTTCCAGTGAGTTTGAATTTGCTGGAATTACCTAAGGTCAAGGTAACCTCAGCTCAAGTGAAATCTTTGTTTAAAATATTAACTTTAATATTTATGAGAGTTATGACCTAGACAAAATTTTATAATGATGAAATATATGGAGATAACGAACAGTATTCAAGCTCAAAAGTCCATTAAACATTACATAATAGATGCAGAGCAAACACGGACCTCCAAAACATCAGAAGTGGGATCAGGTGCCTTGGAGCAGTGAGCATCCCCTGCCGACCGGTCACACCTGCCTTGTGCTCCTTGTCATGATCGGGAAATAACGGAAAAATCCGACGACAATTCAGTGTGTAAATAATGGCCTAACAATTAGTATGAAAAACGTCAGTCAGCATTTGACTCAATGATAAATTGTATTTCCTGACAAGGTCATTGTATCGACCATAGAACTAACGAAATGATGACTTTATACAAGACAGCTGATATTCTTGTTTCATCAACTTGTTTGTCAATAATTTACCTCGTTTTAGAAATTATACATATGTAGAGCATGCTCTTGCGTATCGAATCAACTAAGAGATGTAAACCCCGTATACAGGACTGGTGATGAAGGTATATTGCTGCATAAGTATGGGAAGTTGACGATTGAAAAGTTAAAGTCATCATGTTTATCATACAGTTTGATTGTTAGATTACCATTAATGTCTTTTTCAAGTAAAATATCCAAATACGAAACAGATGTGTCAGACTCTGTACAGTAGTATCTTTTATCTCAAGCTCACCGGGATATATCGTATCGATATAAGAATGGAAATAACCATTGTTAATTGACAATACGTCGTCGACATATCTAAATGTCGCGTTAAAGGGCACAGCAAGTGTTTTCTTCTGATCACGTATAAGATTTTGGACAAATTATACTTTTTTTACTAGTGACCTTGAACTTAACGGAATGAATCTGGTCATACCCATGATACACCTTCAAGCAAACGTGATATTTGTGTGAAGTACGAAATTCCAAAGTTTTCCAGTTAGAAAATGACCGAACTTTTCTGCCAGTGGCCTTGAACTTGCTAAAGCGACCTCTGTCAAGATCATGACACACCCTTAAATCATAAGTAGTCTTTGTATAAAGTATCAACAGTCAAAGTAGCTTGTTGGTATAGAGCCTCGTAGTCGGAAGTTCGTAGGTTTAAGCCTCGGCCGGCCGCCACAAACCTAATAAGTTGACGCAGATAAGTAATTGTTCCTTCGCCAAGCGCTAGCGATCAGAACTTGAGTGAAAGTTGCGGGTCTTTCATATGAAACCTAAAAAACTTAGACCCGAAGTCGCGGGAGTAGTTAGCACGGTAAAGGATCCTCTATGCTTGATAAACCGGAGAGACGAATAAAAGTGTGAATTTAAAGCCCTTCACATCTGGTGACATCACATTTGAGTGAAATTACCTTGCAAGGGACTTTACTCCAATCCTCCTTCATTAAAGAATTGTAAACGGACACGAACTATAGATTTTTTTTCAGTCAGTGACCTTGAACTTGAAAAAATGTATTGGGTCAAGGTTATTATACACTCGCATGCAGCAATCTTTATGATAAGAATGAGTTTCTAATTATCTCCATTAAAAGATATTGTTAGGACAGGAAAAAAAAAATTCTTCTGAGAGTGACCTTGAATTTGATAAAATTACTTTGGGTAAACGTCATGACACAACTTAAGGTCAAAAGTATTATTTGAATGATGTATAAGTTCCAATATCTCTTCAAGAAAAAGTTATAGACGAGGCAAGAATTTTATACTTTTTCTATAAGTGAACTTGAACTCGCCGTAATGACCCTGGGCCAAGCCTTCATATCAGAAACGATCTTTACCCCAAGAACTTCCAATATTTTTGCATTACAATGTAATGGCTCTGACACGACATGGACGGACAGAGACAGACAAGGTGATTCCAATATACTCCCGATCTTTGTTTGCAGGAATATACAATGTAATAAACAAATGTTCTTTGGAAGAAAACTATTCCTGAAAATCTTGTTCAAATCAACACTAGACCATTCAATCAAAGTTCGTGATCAGGAAAGAAATGTTCTGGTGTTCGCAAATTATTTTCTTTCAATGTTCTTAAATACTATGTGAGTACTAAAGGCAATTCATTTTTCAGTATTTAGATGAATTATTTTCAATACAAATTGGCATTCAATAAATAAAATGCACACAATTGTCTACTAAATAATACTCAACAATTCCTGTATACATGCATATTGCTGTTAATGCACTTTGTGTTAAGCTTGAACTGCAAAAAAATTCACGGAGAATTGAATGATAAATACAGATTATATTGATAGGCGTGACTCCATATCTACACGCTTTATATGCAAATAAAGGTCATTGAATATCACAAATGTTATGATTGTATTTACTAAATAGCCACGATTTTTCATCATACCAACATTTAAATGACAACCGCTTTGTATTATTAACTATACTTTTATTTATATTGCAAGTCTCATATAAAATCTAAATCTTATTAAAAATCAAATACTACACCTTTATTGTATTTGCACAAAACTCTCTCTCTCTCTCTTTCATGACTGATGATAGGGATGATGAACTTCATGAGTGGAAAATAAAAACCACAGCCCTGTATTACAAACGTATTGATCAAGAACCCATTTACAAGCTTTTCGTTTTAATTTAAAAAAAAATTACATTTCTATCCGATTTTTCCACAATCACAGCAGATACTGTATACGTGAAGAAAAGAGAATACAGTCAGAAAACTAACCAAAAAGTTCGAGAACAGTGGTGTTTTGTCTAATTTATACATATTTTATACCAAAATTTTTTGTTGCAAAAAACAGGTCTCGATTGTTAGAACTTATATTTTACGTAAGAATCGCTGCTGTCTTATAGGGTCCGGGAACGCGTACCAGACCCAAGCTTATAATTTTGTAAACGCTGTCAAAAAGTTTTTTTTGCATTTAAATGTTTTTTTTCCATAATACATTTCAAATCTAAGTAAAATTTACAAACGAAGTACCTAAAACAGTTAATGTCATTTTCCACAGTAGTTATTAACGGTATTACACGGATAGAGGAAATATCTAGAAAAAACCGCAAAATTGATTGATCGATTGATTGTATGTTGTTTCATGTCCCGTTCGAGAATTTTTCACTCATATAGATATCCCACCATATACCGGTGAAGGGCTTCAAATTTAGACATTTACTCGGCACTCAGGGCCATTGAGCAGTGAGGGTTCTTTATCATACCAACGCCTACCGTGACACGGGGCCTCGGTTTTTAAGG